TCCAGCACATATGAGGAGGAGCCCTGGTGGTAAAGTGGTTAAGAGCTCGGCTGCTAACCAAAAGGCCTGCAGTTCGAATCCACTAGCCACTCCTTGGAAACCCCATGGGACAGTTCTACTCTGTCCAACAGAGTCACTATGAGTTGGAATCGACTCGATGGCACGGGTTTTTGGTTTTGGTATACATAAAGAATATAATAAGAAAATAAATTTTTATATGCTGTTTTTAAGAAAAGACAACTCAATAGAAAAAATGTAAGAAACACAAATATTTCAAAAAAAGACATGCTAGCCAATAAACAGAATAATGGTCAGCCTTATTATTAATCTGATGAATAATATTAAGACTATAATAGGATACCATTTCCTATTACCAGATTTGTAACATTTTTTAAGCAGTTTTGTATTTTGTTTCATGTAATATTACATCATTAACATTTTTTAAATATCACTGAATATTTTGATAATGTGGTCTTAATTCCTCTTTTATAATCCACTTTGAGGATTTCCTATAATTAACTTTTCTCTGTATTTTAACATTTAGGTGGCATCCACTACGGAAAATATGCATTTTTTGGACATAAATCTTTGTGTTTACATCTGGTTACTCTTTTTTTCAATTGTGCTTTAGGTGAAAGTTTACAGAGCAAATTAGTTTCTCATTGAACAATACATACACAAGTTGTTTTGTGACACTGATTGCTAACCCTGTGATGTGCCAACACTCTCCCCTTCTCCATTCCAGGTTCCCCGTGTTGATTTGGCCAGTTTTCCTGTCCCTTCCTGCCTTCCCGTCTTTGCTTTTGGGCTGGTATGCCCGTTTAGTCTCATGTACATGACTGAACTACGAAGCACGTTGCTCATGTGTTACTGTTTGCGCTGTAGACATGTCTAATCTTTGGCTGATTTTAAAAATCTGATCATATTAAGTCTCAGGAAGCAAGTGGACAATGAACACTGTCATAGCCCTGTGGAAGTACATCAACTACGGAAAACAATTTCCCATTACCTAGTAAAGCTGAACATATCCTAAAAACAAGGTAATTCAACTCCAAACAATCCTACGGTATTGGTATCGTTATTTAATAAGTCACTGCTGGCATTTAATTGGGACAATCTGCGCTATGCACTTCAGGGTAGCTGGCATCCCTTTACCCTGCTCACTACATGCCAGTGGTGCCCCATAATCATTTTAACAACAAAAAAAGTCTCCATAATTTCTAAATGCCTCTTCTGGGGACAGTGCTACACCCAGTTGAGAACCACTGACCTAAAAAAAGAAACTCTTAAACATATATATCCAAGTCATGTTCATATCAGCATTGTTCATAAAAATAAAAAACTAGAAACGATGTCCGTTGATAGAAAGATGGATAAACTATGGTATATATACACAATTGAACGCTATAATATAGTAATGAAAATGAACTGCAAAAATGTTGAGCAAAAAACAAGCAGCTATGAACATATACAATATGATTCCATTTAAATAAAGTTTAAAATGGATAAAACCAAATAATATATTACTCAGAGATACATACTTATGTGATAAATGTAAAAAAAATAAAAAAGCAAGAATAATTGATAAATTTTAGGATAGTGGTTCCTCTGAAGTGAAGGAAGGGGGATGCAATTGAGGACACACAGGACTTCTGTTTCTTAAGCACAGTGATGGATATACTGGTGTTTATTATTCTTCTATAAACTATACATACACATTATATATACCCTATAAAAAAATTTTTAAAAATTGCTATGGAATGTGTCAACAATGTGAAGCAGCAGCTATAAAGATTTATACTAAATTTGGGAGCAAAGGAGAATGAAGAAAAGGTAACAAGAGAAAGATTAGTCCAAAGGACTAATGGACCACAACTACCACAGCCTCCACCAGACTGAGTCCAGGAAAACTAGATGGTGCCCGGCTACCACCACTGACTGCTCTGACAGGGATCACAACAAAGGGTCCCGGACAGAGCTGGAGAAAAATGTAGAACATAATTTAGACTCACAAAGAAAAGATCAGACTTACTGGCCTGCCAGAGACTGGAGAAACCCCAAGAGTATGGCCCCTTGATACCCTTGTAGCTCAGGGATGAAGTCACTCCTGAAGTTCACCCTTCAGCCAAAGATTAGACAGGCCCATAAAACAAAATGAGACTGATGGGGCACAACAGCCCAGGGACAAGGACTAGAAGGCAGGAAGGGACAGGAAAGCTGGTAATAGGGAATACAAGGTCGAGAAGGGAGAGTGTTGACATGTCATGGGGTTGTTAACCAATGTCATAAAACACTATGTGTACTGTTTAATGAGAAACTTATTTGTTCTATAAACCTTCATCTAGAGTACAATAAAAAAAAAAAAGGAAAAAAAAAAAAGATTTATACTAAAGATAATAAGGTAGTATCTTTCCCTCCCTGCTGTCCCTATCATTTGTGAAAGCGTAGAGAAAGGAATGCAGCTGCTGACATACAGTGCCAGTCCTGGACCACAAGCCTGCAGTATTGTTTTCACACTTTTTAATGTATACTCCTCTCATGATACTTGCTCACACGATCAGATCACAGGCAAACAAAAGAGTACGTATCATCTTTCGTAGTTGGGCAAAACAGAATCCCACATACAGACATTTTCTAGATAACCGAAGCCCAATCTCCAATTTCTCCTATTTGTTCAGTAATTAGAGTTTATAGCATGTATTTTCATTCATCATAATAAGTTTTACTGAATGCTTACTATGTACCAGGCACTGAGACTAAGAAGATAGTTAAGACACAATTCTTGCTCTAAAGGGCTTACCACCCAGAAATGGGCAGGTGGGGAAGGGGGCTCTGAGTAAATAAGTACCACTCTTAATACAATCAGAACTGTCTAATAGATTTAAAGAAAAACAGGGAGGTGGTCAATTCAACATAAGGCACAGGAAGATTTCATAGAGCTAGATATTATACTTGTGGGGAGTTTTCTAGGCAGATTTGGGAAGGGAATTCCAGGAAAAGGAGCAACATAACCATAGGACAAAAGTCAGGGAACTAAAAGGCATATCCAAAACACTACTGCTAATCTGAAATGTGTTGGGTGGAGTGGGAAATGACTAGGTAGAGAGTTTGTATTTCATCCTACAGACAAAGCCCTGAAAGAGTTTCAAGGTGCAGACGTGGTTTTAAAATGATTACTTTGGCAAAAGGATAGAAAATGGGCTTGAAGAGATGGTGTGCAGAGTCTGGAGACATGGAAATAAGTTAGGATAGAAAACTGTTGCAGTAATTCAGAGAAAAGAGGAGAATCTAAAAAACAAAGTAGTAACACAGAAGAAAAAAGAGAAAAGGAAAAATTCCAGTTACTTGAGAGAATGAAAACGAACAGAGAAAAGTCACCAACATTGAGACACAACGCTTAACCAGGTAGACAGGAATCAGAAGAAGGTATCACCAAAGCCAAGAGATTTTCAGGCAGCAGGGAGGGGTCGACGGCTCGAAATGATAAGGAAGGACCAGCAGGTACAGGGCGTGAGCACTGGACATGGCAGTCAGTCATCACCGGTGACCTCTGCAGGCGGTTCCAGGGGAGGGGGGGACAGAAGCAGCCTGACTGAAGCAAATTCAAGAGTGAATTAAGGAGCATAGTTCTTTCAGGAAGACTGGCCAAGAGACAATTAAGTTTTTAAACGGAAGACTAGAATATACTTTAAGCTGCAATGAAAAGGTTGAAAATATGGGAAAGAGATGGCATACGTGATGGAGAAAGACTCAGAGATATGAAGGGATGGATAAGATCAAAGAAGCAGTGAACACTGCTCAGAACAAGAGAAAGGTCCCTTCTTCTGTGAGGCTGCAGAAGAGAAAGGCATTCAGGCACAGATTGTTCACTCAACAAACATTTAGTGAATATCTATCATATGCCAGGTACTGTGCAAAGTGCTAGGGGGTACAAGATGACTAACTCAGTGCTGGCTTCAAAGAGTTCACAGCTTAGTGGGGGAAATCCAACAATTATAATGTTCTAAGTACAAATGCAAGAAGATGAAACAGGTAGTATGGTAGAACAGAGGTTAGGGAAAGGGCTGGAATTTAAGAGTTCCTGCCTGATATTTTCTGTGAAGTAAAAGGTGAAGTTTCCTGCCAAGTTTTATGCAAGTTACGAGGTGTGGTAGGGGATGTGCAGAATATCAATTTTTCACTGCTGTCAGTACACCTTAGTAGCAAGTATGCTAAGCAAAAACAAACCCACTGCTGTTGAGTTGATTCCGACTCATAGCAATCCTATAGGATAGAGCAGAACTGCCCCACAGCGTTTCCAAGGCTGTAAATCTTTACGGAAGCAGACTGCCACATCTTTCTCCCATGGAGTGACTGGTGGGTTTGAACCACTGACCGTTCGGTTAGCAGCTGAGTGCGTAACCACTGTGTCACCAGGGCTCCTGCAGGTATGCTGCTGATGTCTAATTTGTTACAACATGAAACAAACAAAACGTTTTCAGGGAAAAGTGGGTGACAAAACCAGAAGCTTAATTTTACACCCTCATCTGAGAGTGGCTGTACATCTTTTCTATGGATTAAAGGTCATGGATCGTGGCAGGGATGTTATACTTCTGAGTGGATGAGATAACCAAAAGGTACTCAGACCACTTGCTAACTGGGGTTCTAGATAGTGCTGTAGTTCCAAAAACCTCTAGTTAGCACTGAAACATACTACCTCCCAAACCATTACAAACAAACGGCTAACTCGCGCAGCTGCCGAAAGCTTGGAGGCTGGAGTTCACCCACGGTAGCCACGGGAAAAAGGACTGGTGATCTACTTCTGAAAAATCAGCCACTGAAAACCCTATGCAACACAGTTCTACTCTGACAACACATGGGTTCACCATGAGTCAGAATCAACTGGGTGGCAACTAGCTTTGTTTAAACCATTATATAAATTTTTTTTTTCTCAATATGAAGTACTTTCCCTGTGGATCTGCAGAACAATTACAAGCACTCTAATTAGTATTCATCATTACCTCTTTTTTGGCTTCTTTTTTAGGATCATAATCACTATCATTCCCATCCATTGGGTGTGTTTCCTCCACATCATCATCACTGAGAAGAAATAAAGATTAGTAAACTTAAATTCCTTCCTTGTAATTCTATTCTAGTGCTCTTATCAAACTTTAAAATACCCTATTAATAATTTTTACTAACGTTTTGCAATGGAACAACAGTTGTCCTTGGGAAGACGAACTCGTAACTTAGATTTCTGTAGTGTTTAGAAACATTTAACTCTTTGGGCATATAGAATCATTTAGCAAACATCTCTAGCTAAAAAAAAAAAAGAGAGAGACAGACTCAGCTGGAAATGGATTTGGAAAAAAATTATCATTTGGCAAAGAGACCATGAACATTTCTGTTCTCTGACTGGAGAAAGAGAGAGACAAAAACCAGTAAACAAAATGATTTTATACTACTACAAAGGTCCAGCTACAATAATGTGTACCTTCAGTTACTCAGGTAATTGTGGAAACAGCATCTTCCAAAGAATACATGCTTTTATATCTTCCAAATATATGTATTGACTATAGCAATACTAAAAGGAAACATTTGTGATTACTGCTAAACACAGCTCAAATATAACTCAGTTGGGATGTTAACTGGTTATGATTAACAGTTAAAGGGTTCAAGAGAGTTCTTACTCTAAAGATTTCTGACCACTCGGCTCTTCCTGTCAGAGCAGAAACAGAAGGTAAGGATAGGAAGTATTTACAACATGTTGTAATAATTTTTCTGCCTTAGGAGATGTAAGCAATCCAGTGCAATGGCCCTAACAATGTAATTGTATAAAGGCATCCAACCTACCTGTCACCTTGATTATGTCTATTAGCTAGTTTACGAGCCTGGCGATCCATCAAACTTGTCCTAGACCGAGTTTTTTTCCATGAATAGTAATATTTTACAAGGCTTGCGATTGTCTTATCTGGAAGCTTAAAACAGTAACAATAACAGAATGTTAAATCAGCAAGTTTACTTCATAAAACAGATTAACAGAATGAACAAAATTTTCATACATGCAAATACATGCATAAATGAAAAATTTTCATAAGTACTTTTATGAATTATAGAGCTAAATGGTGCTGTTATAGTCATAGTACCCTGCCACATCTATGTAACTGACATTTCTGAATGAATATTCCTATTTGTCCTGAGATGCAAAGGGACCACAACTTAATGGTGGGAATGGCCCCAGAAGTCGCCAGCACAGCCATGTTAGTATCCAGTATCTGTTTTCTTTAAAAAAATGACTCAATTGTTTTTTCCCCTCTGTAAATTGGGATTTTTTTTTATTGAGATATAATTCACATACCATAAACTTTATCATTTTAAAGTGCACGATTCAGTGGTTTTTAGTACATTCACTATGTTGTGTAACTGTGGACACTAATTCCAGAACATTTTAATCACCCCAAAAAGAAATCCTGTCCCATTAGTAGTCTCTCCCATTCCTCCCGTCCCCAACCCCTGGCAACCACTTTCTATCTCTATGGATTTGCCTGTTCTGGGTATTTCATGTAAATGGGATCATGTGATATGTTGCCTTATGTGTCTGGCCTCTTTTACTTAGCAAAATCTTTTCAAGAAGAGCCACTCAATTCTATAATAGGAAGTTAAAAAAATTTTTTTTTTTTTTTAAATCCAGGTTTTAAAATGGTAAACAGTGCAAACAGCCTTTATCCACCAAATAAAGCCTTTGGGTATTAAAATGACTATTGACAATGCACTCATCTGTTGTGCTGGCAAACAAGGATGCACACTCCTTGCTAAAATGCCCTCTTCGCTTATAGAAGACACTTAGATATATCTGCAAACACTGTCTAATGTCCATCCACTCAGGTGAAAATAGTTTATTGCACCAACTTCTCCGGTTTATATTATTTTGACACAATACTAAAGATTTAAGCACCAGAAACATACAGCAGTTTTTCTCCTTTAATGATAATCAAAAAAGCAACAGCACATAGACCATATTGAAATAATACGTACTTCTTAAAAATGGGCTTTTGTAGCCAAAAGAATGTAAGTCAGAAAACAAAGTTCTAATGATAAAAAATAAACATTTAAAAATCGAATTGAAATTACAATTTTTTTTCCTGGAACTGCAAACATATTTAATAGCTATTACATATATATTTAAGTCAAAATACACACTGATTAGTTATTGTGAAATAGCACATAACTGTCATGCATTAGAGTGGCTGTAGGAAACAGGATGGTATGCAAATATACCTATTTCAAAATATTTTTAAAAACTAAAATTAAATTGGAAAACTGTTTTGTATTTGGTAATTAAGAAGGATTTAATAAAAGCATATGATGTCATTCAGGAACGAATCACACTAAGACAAAAATTACCATACCATTTGCTGAATCCTGTGAAAGCTCTTCCCATGAAAACTAAAGGCTTGTTCAAATAGGACTTTATCTTCCACTGTCCACTCATCCGGAAAGGGAGTGAAATTAGGGAGATCAGCAAGGGACTTCTCAATGTTATGTTTATGCCAGAACAACATGCCAAGTGCCTTTGAAGAGAAATCATTCCCCTTTGGTTTTAATGGACTTATATTCCATCACACTTAAGAAAATTCAACACAAATTAGATTAAAATCTTAAGCCTGCAAGTTCAACAGAAAATACACTCACAGTTTGGAGCTTTTAATCAAGGGTGTCCAGGCAGTAAAGCTCATTTAGTTATTTACTTTAAATCAAGGCCTCGGAACAGTGAATGTTCTTATATACCATATTAGCTACAGATTCTAGGGAAAACAGGGAGCTCAGGAGAATGACTGTAATTACTAAAGCAGGTTTGTAGGTTCATATCAAGACTTTCACCCACATTCATCCATTTGTCAAAGCATAAAGAAAATATCCAGTAAATCAATATTTGAGTAAAGCCTGAAACTATTAATTAAAGCACAGAACTAAAAGTGCTCAGTAAAGAAGGAATTCAGTATTGAAATATTTAAATTTTAACTTTTCAGAACTATATCATGGGTTAAACACTAGAAGTTAAGAGTATCTCAACTGCAACTTTAACAACTTAATATTTTAACATATATACTTTTTTAAGTTCTTTATTATCATAAAGTATACGTGGAATTATTACAAGTCAGATCAATAACTTCAATGACTTGATCGTCATTAGAAAGCCTGAAATGGCCAACTTCCAAAAATTCCGTAACTTTCCTCTCTACTATAAATAAATGAAAAAACTCGCTGTGTCGAGTCAATTCCGTCTCATAGCGACCCTACAGGATAGAGCAGAACTGCCTCACAGGGTTTCCAAGGAGCAGATGGTGGATTCGAACTGTCGACCTTTAGATTAGTGTCATGGATTGACTTATGCCCCCCAAAAAATGTGTGTGTCAGTTTGGCTGGGCCATGATTCCTGGTATTCTGTGATTTTCCTGTATGTTGTAAATCCTGCCTCTATGATGTCAATGAGGGAGGATGGGTGGCAGTTGTGTTAGTAAGGCAAGAGTCAATCTGCAAGACTGGATTGTGTCCTGAGGCCATCTCCTGAGATATAAAAGACTGAAGAGAGAAGAGAGCCAGGGGGACCTCATACCACCAAGAAAGCAGTGCCAGGAGCAGAGTGTGTCCTTTGCACCCAGGGTCCCTGCACGGAGAAGCTCCTAGTCCGGGGGAACTTTGATGAGAAGGCTGACAGAGAGAGAAAGCCTTCCCCTGGAGCTGACACCCCGAATTTGGACTCTTAGCCTACTTTACTGTAAGGAAATAAACTTCCCTTTGTTAAAACCATCCACGCGTGTTATTTCTGTTACAGCAGCACTAGATAACTAAGACAGTTAGCAACCGAGCTCTTAACCACTAGGCCACCAGGGCCCCCTATTATAAATAGTAGGCCTTTATCTTTATTATAAGGTATTAAGTATTATTTACAGGATAAACTTTTATTTTTTAAAAAGAAATACAGCAACTTCTTAAACAGTGATTTTGAAGTTAATTTTGTACTTAGCTAATAGTTCTCTAAAACGAACATGAAAGTAAACATATGGACAGTCCCATTTTAAAGGATTAATGTACTCAAACAAGTCTTAAACAAGAAGGCAAGGTTTAGAAACAAAATATACAATTAAAGACTTCAAAATCTGCAGAAAAAGTTAACTTCATTTGGAAAGAAACATCTCAATTTCACAGAGATGATGTTACTTTACCATGTTACCAAGTACAAAATTAGACTTTGATAATGCAGGTTATAGATACCTTTCCTAGTTCTCTAAAAACAAATCTGCCTATTTTACTATTAATTCTGATAAAAACTGATACACTTAATTGAAATGAGATTTAAGAATCTTTAACTATTTCCTTTTTCCATGTTCTCTACTCCCACAGTTAGGGGTAACAGACCATATATATGGCCTTTTAAAATCATCTAACAACAACAACAGAAAACCCTTATAAATTATTTCATTCAAATTTAAAAAGTCTTAAAAATTTCTTTAAATGAAAAGCTAAACTTACAGATCTTTTGGATCAAAAAGTCATAAGAAAATAACTTGCATTCTTAAAAAAAAATTCTTTTTTAAATAAAAGATTTGTTTTAAAATTCTACTCATGTATATTTGTCCAAAAATACCCCAAAACTTATTCCTCATTTTGGGAAGCATTTGCTAGAGTAATCCTGAAGGCTTTCAGACACTTTCAGAACTCAAAACAGAATAAGAAACAAAGGTATTGAGAGCAAAGTGCTCAAGTTTTTGTGATGAATAATGTTTATAAAAGCAAAATCCTTAATAATGAAAAGGTCAGACTTTGCTAAAACCTTTGTGGAATCTATAAAGTTGGCTGAACGTATGTACTTTCTTAGGACAGAAACTACTATTGGATGCTGTTTGGATTTGGTAAATGTTGAGGCAAGCCTTAATACTAAAATGTTTCTCTACATACCTGCTCCACATTGTAGCCATGTTTTTCCTTTGCAATTGCAATATACTCATCCACTGTAACAAAATAATGTTATATAATTAGTAATTTTCATTTACTTTATTTATTCAGGTCTACTTTTTCTAACACAACAAATAAAATACAGTCCAAGAATAAAAAAATGGCCAAAGCCATCTTCCATAAAATATTATAATAAGAGGCTTTTATTTATATAAACAGGATCAAAAGCTAACTCAATTAAAATTTTATTTAGTATCACTTATCTCTCTGCCCATACACTATACACTTATTCAATTCAGTAACATTATCATCCTTGTTTCACATGTAGAAGAAGACCAATGTGTGGGTAGCCAACAGAACCTAATTACAATGTAAGCTATTAAGATAATTTCTTGATTTTCTGTTCGTCTTTAACAGAAGAGACTTGACTATTTAAGACTCTCTCATATTTAGAGTTGGCCCAAAACCTTTACCATCTCATTTCTGATTGCTGCATAGAAGACAGTTTATCCGTAGTTTTACCAGCTATACATAATAATGACATATTTAAGTATGCTTCAGTATCCCTAAAATTTTCTTCACCTCTTCCTGCTTGCTATACAAAACATGTTTTGAGTAGTCTATTTTCCTTCACCCTCCATCAAGTCAACAGATTTAGGTAAGCACCACTATAGCGCGGACATACTGCCTATTTCAAGGCCTCACGGCTCAGAAGTCCGCATTTCACTTTCAGCAGGACTCAATTTTGTATGAAGTCCAGAGTCACTCTCTCCTGATCCTTTACAGTGAATGTGTGCGTGTGTGTGTATACATACACACACGTATATAGTAAATTTTTATACATAATTATTCTTTAAGTGTATTTTTTAAGAAGCAGTGATTAAGCATTCTGATCCAGGAACAGCCAGGCAGCCCAGGTTCGATTCTCAGTCTTGTTACTGGCTTTCTGACTCTGAGCGAGCTGCTGAATCTTTTTGTACCTTTGTTTCCTCATTCTAAAATGGCGATAAAAACAGTACCTTCCTCCTAGGATTAAATGAGTTAATATATGTAAAGTGCTTAGAACAGCACCTGGCACATTATAAGTACTTAATAAGTATTTGTTATTATTCTGTCAGTAGCCTACACTTTAAAATACGAATACACTATTATAACAACAATGCTATTAGAATAACTACTCTTTTATGGATGTTCCATCTGCCCAAGGCCATAGCTTTTGGTGCAGAAAATCCCAATGTTACACTTTGTTTAGAACCCACAGCACATAAAACATACCAATGGTCTAAATATGTGCTGATTAATTTTAACAAAAATGTCTTAAGGTCCTATAGAAGGCTAAACAATATCAACAGACCTGTGGTTCACAACCCTTGCCATGCATTAAAATCACTGAGGGAATTTTTAAAAAATAAGATGTCCAGCCCCCATTCCTCATGATTCTCATTTAATTCGTTTGGGATAGAGACCAGACATCAGTATTTTTTTAAAGCTCTTCGAGTGATTCCAGTGCACAGTCAGGGCTGAAAACCACTGCTCACTATCTTCAGCTGAATCTTCCAAATGAACACTACGCTACCAGCATATGTTGGTTTTCTGAATTTGTTTGCCACTTTGCTAAGAAACACACCATTGGAAAAAACAAAATGCTAAAACAGCAAAATTCAATGGTGAGCTGATGCACAGTTTATAAATGACAACCTCCGATGTAACGAGGACTGAACCAGAGAATCCCGACACTCTCTTTCAGGTTTCATAGTACACAGTCCCAGGCCAACTGAATAATTTCACATTTTCTGTTAAGAATGCCTCAAATCCAAACCAAACCTGCTACCATCGAGTTGATTCCAACTCACAGCAACCCTACAGGACGGAGTAGAACCGTCCCATAGGATTTCCAGGAGCGGCTGGTGGATTTGAACTGCCAACCTTTTGGTTGACAGTCGAGCTCTTACCCACTGCACCAAGAGGGCTCCAAGAATGCCGCAAGGGCATACAATTCCTAGATCTTTTGCTGGTGTTCTAAATTTCTTAAAGAGGAAGAATTACCAGGTATGCAGAAGCATACCCAGTTGTCAATTTTTAGTTCTCTTATTGCATCAATAAGTATGATTAGACTTACTGAGCACGTGATATAACCCAATAACCCACTGCTGTCAAGTCGATTCTGACTCACAGGGACCCTACAGGACGGAGTAGAACTGCCCCATAGGGTTTCCAAGGAGCAGCTGGTAGATTTGAACTGCCGGCCTTTTGGTTAGCAGTCGTAGCTCTTAACCACTGCACCACCAGGACTCCAGTAGATGATACAGGACATCATTAATTTTCAGGGGACTAACAATAGCCATCATGGGACATCTTTAAGATGTTAGCAAACACTTAGAAAAAACAAGCTTAATTTACAGCTGCCAGGATAGCTGTTCAGTGTTGTTTCAAAATGACAACTGAATGGAGGGGTGGGGATCTTAGTGTTGTTACCTGCATGTTTCCTACATCTGATGTGCCGCAAAGGATCAGGTCCGCTACATCACACTGAAGTCTAAAGTCACACCATGATTCAAGAAGTGCATGGTCAATGATCCAGAAGGTCTCCGTCCAGAAATGGAGAGCACAAAGATGACCTGACGGCTGTTGAAGTCAGTTCTTTCCCTTTTCCTCTTTAAAATAGTAATGATAGTGGGCTCTTTGAAGTTTGAAAGCATTTCTTTACAGGTCCATTTACTGAGGAAAAGCCTGCACAGATATCTACATAGTAACTCCCTCCCCTGCTGGAGGATGTAAGCAGCAATGCCCTCAGATCCTAGGTCTGTTCATTCTTCATGGGCCTGATACAACTGGAATGATCAAACCACCATCTTTCAAAAGGAAAAACACTCTGATATAACAACCTCTATTAAAAAAATAAAACAATAAAGACAAAACTCTTTTCTTATGAGAATCTAAGAGGACCAAAAACAAATCCAAGTTGCATTTCTAATCAGCTGACAGATTTTTGTTCACATAAACATTCAATTTCAGAAAACTTACATTTGGCGTCCGGGATACTGTGATATGGAGACCATACAAGCATCCCTCCATTGTCTTTATCTGTGTACTTTGTAGCACCTGGGGAAAAAATTAATTACTTTTAATATGATGGGTTTCACTTACATTTAAAATAAATATAAACAACGTAAGCTTTATTTCTATTTTAGTACGGTATCTGCAAAGGAAGACAAAGTACAGAGAAAAAAAGAAAGATTTACATTAAATATAGTAAACACCTTGTTTATGGAAATGAAAGGATTTTGCAAATGCTGAAGTTTAAAAAATAAAGACCGGTTTTGTGCTTAAACATTTTATTTTTTAAGTATATATCCTTGCTTTACAAAGGATAATAAATCTGATTTAATCTCCCACACATCACTTGGGGGTCATCATTAAAAACTGACTTTCTAACCTAGAGGAATGCCTCAGGTGTTGTTTTGCCCCGTATCTAAACAGACCAAGATTTATACTTGTGTCTGCTTTTTTATAAGTTCTATATAATCCTATTCCTTGAAAAGTCTGTCCGCTATTCCTTTTTTAAACAATTTCACTTATTACATTTTATATTTGTAAAAGTATTCCGTTTGCTGTAAAAAGAAAGCAAAGTCAAAGACATATAGAAGTTAATAATGCTATTTCTTCTTAATGCAATCTAAGAACCTGCTTCTAATCTAGAGAAATACTATCCCTGTTTCTAATTTATTTCTCATCTGTTATCTAGAAAGTCAGTAAAATTAAAACCCAATTAAAACTGCATTAAGAATGAACAGAATGAATGAAAGCCTGACACCTCAGCTAAGAACATGCATTTACCTTTTAATTCCTCAATGGTCTTTTTCTGGCTTCTTCCTAATTTTTAACTGCAGTCAAGTCCATTAAAACTATCAACAAACAAAGCATTGCTGCCACGTTTTAAGACTTGCCTATGACTACAAGTCTCGGTAACACAAATGGTTAACTTGGCTGTTAATTGAAAGGTTATAGGTTTGAGTCTACCAGAGGCACCTTGGAAGAAAGGCCTGGCGACCTACTTCCCAAAAATCAGCCAATGAAAACCCTACAGAGCACGGTTCTACACTGACACATATAGGTCATCATAAGTCAGAAATTCCTTGGTGGTAAATGGTTTAGTTTTTTACCTAAGAAAATGTTGTAATTTACTTTCCGAGGTGTTGACAGCTACCGCTAACTAATGCCAGAATTCCAAAATCATTCACATAAAATCTTAACATAGAATTCTGAGGTTAAACTGTAATCATTTACAAAGTTATTAGATATTTGGACTAAAAAACATTCAGCTGTAGGAGCAAGGGAGAAACTACCTGGGTAATCTCCACCTAGAAAAGTTATCTGTCAAGCAATAATTTAATATCATTCAGTAGTGTTTTTTTTAATCATTATACATTACCACTGAAAATTCAATCAATAAATTTTAGTTACAATTGATACACTGGTTAGTGAAATAATGAAGCGGAAATTGTTTAAAAATGTGTTTCACTATCAGAAAAAATCAGGATGGAGAAAAATCAGGAGACACACAAAGCATTAGAAAAATGATAATTACAAAATTTTAACAAAATTTAAAACCTATTTTATTTTTCCACAACTATCTTTACTAAAAGAGCAAAAACAGAGCTTAGAATTCAAGAAAATGCAAGTTAGAAGTTAGTCATCTAACTATATTCAATGAAAATAAATTTTAAAATGTTTCTTAACAAGTTCAATATTAAGATATATATTTAATTTTTAACTATGTAACCAAACATTGTAAAGCAAAAGAGCCAAACTCCTTAGTGGAAATAAAACAGATAAAACCTAAGTTAGTCAGAGGCCTTATTTAATTAATTAAATCATTGTTTTTTTCTGTGAATCTCGTAAACTAAAATCCTTTAACAGGGGATTGATCCTTCTTGCACAATGGATTGCTATGATATGATCACTTAAATCCTACTTAACAGAACATGGGCTGTAACAAAGAAAGCTTTCTATTAAGCCCCAAGTCTTAACAGCACACCATGCTTAATATTTAAACATATTTTCTTGCATCTCATTCTTACATAAAGTCCAAATTAATGTCTACATTAAATTTTTGTTCTTAGATATAAAGTATTTTCTATAGATTTTCCCCCAAGTAGAGTAACAGTTAAGTTTCCCCCAAAATTCTTAGCACTGTAATTAAGGGCCTGATCTGACAGAAACTGGCATCCAAGGTGTGGGGACTAACTGCTCTTCTAATCCTGGGGGGCTGGTGTATTGTGGGGGAGAGAGGGGGGAGTGGGGTTGGGGGAAGTCCTATCTGGTTGCAGAGAATCCCTAATTAGGCCTTTTACAGATACCCTTTCACTAACCCTGAAATGGACTCCACCACTATCGATCATACATGTGCCAACCAGGCCCAGAAGATGACAGATGTTCACAGGAAATGAGAGATATTTTAATGTAATGATTAAAAGTATGGACTGTACAATCTCAGCTCTGCCACTTACTAGCTGTCCTCACCTGGGGCAAAGCTACTCAACCTGTCTGCACCTTTTTCTTCATCTTCACAGAACTGCTCAAAGAATTAAATGAATCTATATGTGAAGTACCTGGCATATGGTAAGCATTATATAAAACATACCTATTACTATTGCATGCTTATTAAAGATAGTTGTTTCTTTACCCTGGAAAGGCTTCTTCTCATCTATCAATCAACTAAAAAAATAAAATAATAACTCTAACGTGGCTATAACTCAAATGGCTGATGCCCACTCTCACTAACCCTTAAAAGTACAACTGAATAGCCGATACGATCTTTTTGCTTTTCTGACAACTCAGACATGACTCCTCTCCTATAAGAGAAGAAAGTAACTTGTATTATTAAAAACAATTTATCTAACCCCTTAGGGTGCTTTGCATCCAATGAAGTTTTTACCTTTTCCCTTATAAAAGTAGAAATGAACTAAAATACTTAAAGGACATAAACCAATTTTTATTTTATTTTTACCTGTTATAATATTTAAGATTATACCTCAAAACTGTCTGATATTCAGAAATAATGTTGAGAGTTGAATTTGACTAACAATATAATTAAGCTTTAGAAGTATACTATTTTCCAAATGGATTAAAAAACAAACCAAAACCTAGACATGAAGCTATGACAATTTTAAAAGACAACAGGCGCATGTCAGTTCTGAAAATCAAACTCTTGAATGGTTTTAAGAAGTATTAGATAAAACCCTTGAAAGTTTAACCTCTTTGAAATCCTTAAGATCTCCTTCACCGGAATTGGTAGAGTACATTTATGAGACAAGCCAACAACTAAGAAACAAAAATAAAATTTGATACACTAGCATTTCTATATCCATAGTAAATTCAATAATTATAAAAATTTGTTGTTACTTTTTAGATTCTCTTTAAGAGATTCAAAATAAGGACTTTGATGGAAATTATGGAATATACTAAAACACTTAAATTTTGAGAATATTAAGAAGCTCTAAATATATATTTTTTAATTCTACTATTTATACACCAGGTTCTGAGTGATATACTTAGTTATCACCAACTTCACACTGGGGCACACAAAGACTTTCCAAGGCGTACATGAGTATGAATATGTTTTAAGGGCAGCAATTTTCAGATCCTCTCTAAGACTGACCTGCCTGAGAACTCACCCGCATTCTAGGATATATACTGGTTCTACTTTTCTACCTTTCTCTTCAAAAATGCCCTTCGCTCATTTTAAGAGAGAAAGGCAAATCTCTTACCCATCCCAAATCTTACAAGAGTGCACCATCCAAAATTTAAAAACCTCCAGGGTGTCAAACAGTGTCAGCAAAGCCTTCCTTTAGTCAAGGCACCGTGATCATTACAATTTCAATCAATTATGTATTAATAATTTTAACAACTTAAACCAGGAGAGATTTAACACTTGGAACTTCATGCTCACAAGAATACATAGTATGATGGTAGGGAATAAGTGATCAACAAAGCACTTTCAAGTACAAAAAATACATTATGGAAGATAACATTCTGTGAGGAAACAGCATGGAAATACCAAAGACAAACTGGAACAATGTAAACTTTCAGACTGTTACAAACCCATCCAATTATTTTATAAAATAGATACTATCATATCACTATAGTATTTACTTGGTTGCATTTAAAATATATAACAGCTTTATTTCAAAATGTTAATATTTTAAATACACTGGAGACTACATCCTTCAACTATTTAAACTCAGTGAAAAACAGATATCGACTTAAAAAATATGTGAGATAAATTTTTCAAAATTCTTTTATAGCTATGCAAGCAAAATATTTTGAAGACCACTGCTTTATATACATTCATTTTCACTTAATCTTGTAAATAGTTAACATTATCTCTGCTTTAGGAAACTAAGGTCTGGAGAAGTCAGGGAGTTCATTCAAGGTCACTATGCCTTATTCTCTTAAAGGCATATGAGACTCGATCACCATATAAAACTGCTCCTTATAATGCAAACATAAGTATGCACTAGAAATAAGTTGGGAAGACCTAGTAAAGAATAGAGAAAAAAAGGCACATAATAATCAGAAACCCAACTAGTGAATCATAAATCCATTATTAGCAATGCATTAAGGTAAACTGTTCCTAATCTCCTAACCTCAATAACTCCAATATAAATGTTAGTTCCTCTCAGGTTTTCTAAAAATCAGCTCAATAAATCATTCTTTCTGTGCTTAATTCTATCATCCTCACTATTATCTCCTCCAATGAAAGTTATCCTCCACCAAAAAATTCTGTTAATTTTCCTACATTCGGATCATAATCTCAGCCCCTAAGGAATTTTTCTTCTAAATGACTTGGAAGACTATGGGTGAACAATCTGTAGAGAGCGCTTTAACAGACTAAAGATAATGGGATGAGAAAGAGAAAAGGAGAGATGATTATTTCTCAATTTCTATCATTAATAAATCTTTTTTTATTTTTTGAAAGAAATGTGTTTAAATTCTCACCTTATTGAATTGATATGAAATAATGACTTCATACAATAGCACAACACAGTAAAACAGACCAGCAGTACTAACTGAATGGCACAGATGCTCAATGTTCCCTTGTAAAAGCATCTAATCATTGATAATTTACACTGGCCTGACAAGGTTGGCCTATAGTGATCATATAAAAGCTCACCTAAGTTTAAATAGTAACTGGTTTTATTTATGTCTTCGTGTTCAATATTGTTCTGGAGAAGATTATGAATGAGAAAATAAGTGAAATTAAAGAATGTGACCTTTATTCTTATTCTAACAGAGAACATCAATTACAGTGTCTAAAATCGAAAATGACTTTATTTAAAAAATAGTAATATTTCCATGATTTTCCCATAAATATTCCATTTAGGTTTAAAACAAGCACAATATGATGATCAAGTAAGCTGGCTAACCCAAAGACTGACTACGTGAAAACTACATAAACAGTGCTTTGCACCTCTTACAAATTATTCTTCAGATTTTGAAATCTGTTCCAATGCTTAGTCTATCATGAAACAAAAAAATGCTTTACAGTGATCAGGACTTGGCATGTACAAGTTTATTCTAGCATGAAGTCTGGCTCTTAAATGCAATATCACTTAATAAACCAGTTCAGAAAGAACACAAATTGTTGTATAGTTGCCTAATAAATAAATATTGACTCATAAACCTACAGGGCAAAGAGAAAACTGCAGAATACCAATGAAAGCCTCAAATCAGAAAAGTGTAAATGTACCCTGAATCATTCTTTATAATAATATTTAATCTTTATTGAATAATTACATGTGTTGGTGTTATTCTCATTTAATCCTGGCAAGAATTCTACAAAGCAGTTTTTATTTCCATTTTACAGCTAAGAAAACTGAGACTCTGGGAAGGCCAGCGACTTGCTCAAAGCACAAAATAAGAGTTGGGTGTTAAGAACTGAATTCAATCTATCTTAAATCCAAAGCAAGCTCTTTCCAAATGTTAAGCTAAAATGAGAGGCAGCACAGTACCATGAAAGTGTCTTTCACCTATCAGCTACAACAACAAAAAAATTAGTTTCACAAAATACTTTAAATTATTTGAAGCCCACCACAGGCTGATAGGCTTTTAATAAAATGCATTAGCATCCATGTCATTTAGAAGACAATCCAAATCTAGTGAACGTTCTTGTACCGCTATTTTTACCTACTGAAAAACAGACTGCCCTGATAATCCTTTTAACACAGTATTTCATCCTCCTCCTTTGGGACAGGAGAAGCTAAGGGTCCCCCAGCCACTCTGCTACCTAAACTGTTTAAATGGTTGGTAAATATAATTTTGCATTGTTCTAATGGGTAGGAAAGAAACAAAAATACCCATCTATACCCTATAATCAAATATGCTGTTTCCCCTGAGAAAACGCAAAGAAGCTCTTTTAGGTATAATAGAGAATTCAAGGGTCCGACACAGACGTTATTACGAGCGGGTATTGGGCAAAAACTGAGTATCTCTTAAAAAAAAAAAAAAAAAAAAAAAAACCTTTTCAAAATCTACCCACAGCCTTCACTGAAGTGTATCTGGGCTGGGTCTGGGAGAAGGAAGCGCGCTCCACTCTGAGAGGCTCCAGCAAGGGCGCCTCCATATGCGGAACTCTCGCCCAATCCCCGTCCAGGCAGAAATCCCGTGACCGCCAGGGAGCCTGTTCGGAGAAAAGTAGACAGGGAGCCCGCAAGCTGGGTTGGCAGAGGACGCTGGAACCTGGCTGCTCGGGGAGAAAATGTCTCCTTGGCAGCTGCGGCCAGTGTCCTGTGGTCTGACTTCCTAGGGCTGGCTCGCCAGCGAGGTATGCCTCTAGCGTTTCCCTAACCCCTTCCCCCACCCCTTTCTCTCCGCTGCTCCTACACTCTGCAAAGATACTGCGACCCAAGCTACACCACCTAACCAAAAAAGAAAGAAAACCCCGTCTGCGCGCGGGTCCGACAGGGCTAGCCCCTGGCTTTGGCCGGTGACAGCAGCCCGGGCACCCGCCGCCCTTGGCTCCCAAGGGCCGGTTATGTGGCAGCTGACATTTGCTTGGTTCTTCCACACACATCCCTCACACCCTCCTCCCAGCCGCTCCTCCCCCAACCTCAGACCCCCGAATCAGCCAAGGGCTGTCTCCCTCTGCTCACCCCGACCTCTCTCCAGGCTTAGGCGGTAGGAAGGCGTTGCCACCAGCCGG